GGAATGAAATGATGGGACTTTATGCATTTATTCATAGATAAGAGATGAGATATTAAAAGAAAATATCATTTGTTGTATTATTAAAAAGGTTATTTCTTGTTATTTCTTGTAACCCTTAATGGGCTTTTGCTGACATCAGGAATGAAATGATGGGACTTTATGCATTTATTCATAGATAAGAGATGAGATATTAAAAGAAAATATCATTTGTTGTATTATTAAAAAGGTGATATTTAATAAAATTGTTCATACTTGTGATGAAAAGGGGAGTCTTTAATATATTTATTTTCTGTTTCTTTACTATATTATTTTTTCTTTTCTACTTTTCTTTCTAACTTCTTTTTTCTGCACTTTCTATTTTTTCCTCTTTTTTATTTTCTTTTTTATTTTCTTTTAGTTTTTATTGTTGTGAATTGTAATTTTTAATAAAACTTCAATTTAAAAATTATTTCCATGTTCTTATTTACCAACATATCCTGGAGTTCCACATGCTGTAGACATGATGCCATTCTGTTCCATTTTAGACAAACCAAAATCTGTTATCATAATTTTGGAGTCCTCTTCTGGAGTTAAGTAGAGTAAATTTTCAGGCTATGGATAAGAAGGTGAAAATTAATTACCTGAATACAGGTGGTCCCCAGCCTACAACCATTAATTTAGGGACTGTTCAAAGTAATGGCACTAAAAAAAGTGATTTATGGCCATTTTCCACACGCATGACAGCTGCAGCATTCCCATGGTCATGGGATCAGAATTTGAATGCTTGGTACCTAACATGTATTTATGATGGTTGCAGTGGCCCAGGATCATGTGATCACGTTTTGCAACCTTCCAACAAGCAAAGTCAATGGGGAATCCAGATTCATTTAACAACTGTGTTACTAACTCTGATTCACTTAATAATTGTGGGAAGAAAGGTTGTGAAGTGGGGCAAAACTCACTTAACAATGGAAATGTTGGACTTAATTGTGGTCATAAGTTGAGGACTACCTGTAATATTGTTTGGTAGATAAGATTGCTGTAATGAATCTAAATAGGGATGTCAAACTTGCATCATCACATTGTTATCATGTGACATATCGTGACTTTCCTCCACTTCGCTAAAACGGGGGTGGGCATGGTCAGTGCATGATGCATCCAGCCCACGGGCCATGAATTTGAAACACTTAATCTAGATGTACCAAGAGCAGAGTACACAATTTTAATTTGTTGTGCATATAGTTGGTTTGAAGTTGGGGAAAAGTGCAATAAATGTATTTTGTTTAGAAAAGAATAATATAAGACACATTATTCTCATGCCCATATTCTTCCCAGCTCTGCATATTAGGAGGCAGGTGAGATTTAAAAAGCCACTGCAAATTAATGGATACTTGGATGACTTGTACAGTAGGTAGAATACACCAATATCTGAATATACATCATTAAAGAAAAATACCTTTAGATCTCGATGTACTATCCCATTTTCATGAAGATAATGTACTGCTTCCAGGACTTGCTGAATTACAATACTAGCATCCTTTTCAGTGTAAACACCTCGTTCTAAAATACGGTCAAATAATTCTCCTCCAGACACTCTGTGCAAGAAATTTAGTTTGGATTACATGCTGATGTAGAAAGAATCTTATTGGTTTCACTTCTCTATGATCCATTTCCTATGTTAATTTCATTTTTCTAACTTATATATGAAGTCAAAATATAAATAAGCACATTAAATTTTAATGCTCAACTTCACCACTAAACATTTTGAGCTCTCAGTTAGAAATAAATTGTGAGTGCTGCCCTTTGGATCTGCAAAGAAAAATTGATTGCTTATAATACAGGACAAGACATATTAAACACAGTTAAGCCTTAGACCAGGCAATGCTTGTGCCAAATGAGTAGGATCTGTTTTCATTGAATCTGGCATATAAAGAAGTTCCTTCTTGCCTGATGTAATTTACTAGCATATAATTAGCAGGAAATATCTTCATTAGATGAATTTACTTCCAGTTCATCATTGAATGCAGAGTCTGGTTTATTGCTGACAAGGAAACCTATTTTCCCTTTTAAATGCTCAGCATACAAAAGTTAGATATTTTCTTATTAATTTGTTCCCCTTCTGAATGTGAGTGAAATGGTACTTTTGTTTAGGGTCCTAATGTCATGCTACTTTTGTTTAGGATCCATCTGTCTGCTCTGTAGAAATCCTCCCACTCATGGATGTTATGTTGCATAATTCTTAACATGCACTATTGGCCACCCTTTTTAGTAATCAGATACCACGTTCTTCTAATTTTTCTTCTAAATCTTGATGGGGCTTGTAGGAGGTTGGTGTGGCTGGGAATGACACAAGAAATAAGGTTCAGCTGCAATGGAAGGAAAGAGGCAGAAAGGGATACCCACAGACATTCCCAACAACTCTCCAAACCATGACACATAAAAAATGAGGTACTTGCTGATTATTTCCCATTCAAGCAGCTGCCTGGTTCAAAGCTCAAAGTTCCCTTTACCAGCATTGCCAAGTGGGCAGAATCTGAGAGCAGCAGCCCCAGACAAAATAAGTCTGTTGCCATTTGGGTGAAGTTTTACCTGGGCTAGGTCAACTGGCCAGGTTAGTCTCAGACTCCTGGCTGGGTTGCCAAATTGTTATAAGTATTTGAGATCCCAATCCAAGTCCGGGTTGTGCAAGAACAAATCAGAATAAAATGCAGACATGCTACTTGAAAAGGAAAATTTTCATTTGAGACCTAAACCCTTGAAGGTAGAGTACAAGATTGGGGTACCCAACAGTTTCCAGAAACTGGAAATATTTATATGAGACATATGAGTCATAGTCTTTTATTGTGTATATATGTGTGTGTGAGTGTGAATGTGCCTTCTGTAATATTTATACTTTGCTGAATGTGTAGATCTGTTCCCCTTTAATATGTGCCTATGTGTTGACTTTGGTACTACCTCAGTATACCCAGGGAAACTCTGTATTGTGTAAAGTTTTTGTCCGTATGCTATTATTTGCTCATATTAATTAGTTTAGCCTGGTCAGTAACTATCAGAGAAAGAAGTTGATTAGTGATTTTAGCAACATGATTTTCTAGTTTTGGTTACCTGTGGGTCATGAAAACGATCACAAAGTGGGTCAGAGACAGTGTAGGGATAATCTAATTTTAATATAAAACACTTTTCAGTATTTTAACAGTATTTTCTTCATTCTTTACAACACCTAAACAAACTATTATAAAAGAAGAAGCTGCTCACATGGCTTTATATATTTGGGGCAATACATTTTAGAACCATCCTAGCCAGGAAAATATTGTTTATTTGCCACAAGCAAGATTGGTTAGACTTGCAACTAGATTGCAAAAAGCTTGAATATATTATGAAATTCCAAGATTTCCCTTGAATTCATTTTGGAAGAACAGTTTGAACCCCTTGGGTGGAAAAGATAGAGAGGGAGAGAATCTTCAACTGCTTGAGATTTTCTGGTGCTTTAAAGTCAAGTGTAGGAAGAACAAGTAGTAAGTGTACAATAAAAAATTGAATTAGTAAACAATAAATAAAATAAAGCCATTAAAAAGAATCCCAAGAAAGAAAAAGAAAAAGCAGAACCTCTCAGATCTTTTATCTGTTAGACTAATGATAGAACCTAAGATATTAAGGGCAAAAATAATCAGATCAACAATATAAAATAGTCTAATTCATTAGAAACCTTTTATTTTAAATTACTATAATAGTATTTTACATTTTTGCAGCTTTATCTTACACAATTGAAGTTATATTTAAGTATTGTACAATATTGACTGTTTACTGACACTTTCTACAACCAAGTGTGACCCAGATGTGTTCAGCTATGATTCTCAAAAGCTACTGACTCTTCTCTGGGAGAATTGTGTAACATTTGTTTCTTACATAATGTATATGTTGATACTTACAGTTGCATTACCAGATAATAGTGAGTTGTGCTTTCATAAATGTCTTCAAGTGTTACTATGTTGTCATGCTTTATTCTGCAACCAAAAACAGAATGCAATATGGATCTGATGGAATAAGAGGTCATTAAAAAGCAAGGTAACATTCATTCCACTTTTGTGCCAGATGGTTTTTAACTAAGATTGAACTCTGGTACTTTCATTTAAGGAACAAACAGGTATTTCAGTTTCTAATAACAAGAAATCCATTTCCCCCACTACTGTTTGCCATACACTCATGGAAAGAAAAGAAGAACGTAAGTACGCTTTCTTCAAGAATGTGGCTGGACTTTTTCTTGTGTTCCATACGCTATTCTGAAGGAAGCAATATTTTAAATTTCTTTCTGGTATAGCTTTCTTAAAACATTTTATTCTAAAAACAAATTGTCACATTTTCTTTCTTCTGCATTCATAATAATGTAAACATACTTGAAGGATCAAACTGAAGATCTATCTAAATCACAATTTTCAACCATAAAATTAAAATTCACAAAATGAATCCCACTCTTGAGGTTTTTGTTTGTCCCATTAGCTTTAGCAGAGTGGACATACTCTGGGTATTATCAGTGAAGCAGGGTCACCAAGTTCTAGAACACATACTTTCTCTGTCATGGGCCTGTTCGGGGAATAGTCTCACTAAAATACTAAAATACTGTGAAGCCTTCAGCCAGATGAGACAGTCTTTAGTTTACTGCCCTCCCAATTGCTCTAAAATAAGTAACTTGTAGACTTTTTTGGAGAGGAAGAAGTTTGAATGAAACATTGAACTCTGTCATGCATTCCCAACTATACTTACTTCTTCAGCACAGCTATTTCATTCTCCAGGTTGCTCTCCTGGGTGACTGGTGACTTTTTAATGCACTTCAAAGCAAAAAGCTTGCCAGTGATTCTATGCTTCACCAGGAAAACTTCCGAAAAGGCTCCTCTGTAAGGAAAATAAAAAGGAAAGGCTGGGCATTGTACTGCCGTAGTTAACTTAATTGCTAAGATATAAAACCCTGCCACAATATATAGCCTTAAAGGAAGATACATTAACACTACTTTCAGAAGCAGATGGCACTACTAATTAGATCCAGGGATTTGGCTGCAAATTCAAGGGTATTAATTGGATACATTCCCTGTGAGATTTGAGTTCTATTTATTGTGCAATAGCATAATAAATAGAGAGGAAACCATGGCATAGAAATAAGTTAGGCTTATGAGCTAAAATGTAGCAATTGTATAACAATATAGAATAGCTGATCATTATGTTAATTGTCAAGTTATAATCTATAAAGAATAAGTAGGATTCTACATATCTTTGCACAATAGTGATAATATTCATTGTCAAGTGATTTTTTCCATTCTAGCACTAGGATTACCAGAACTCAAGGGAATCTATATTCGCTACAATGCCAATAGAGACTTTTCTGCTTTCTGGATATAATAGTGCCTGTTCTTCATTGGGTGGAACACAACCCTAACATCTTTTGTAATTATAAACCCTAAGGTAAAGGTTGCTCTGCACATGTGTGCTAGTTGTTTCTGTCTATAGGGATGGTGCTCATCTCCATTTCAAAGCCAAAGAGCCAGCGCTGTCCGAAGATGTCTCATTGTCATGTGGTTGGCATTATTAAATGCCAAAGGCACACAGAGCTGTTACTTTCCCACCAAAGTGGTTCCTATTTTCTATTTGCATTTTTTACATGCTTTTGAACTGCTAGGTTGGCAGAAGCTGGGACAAATAATGGGAGGTCACTCCATTACATGGCACTAGGGATTCAAACCACTGAACTGCCAATATTTTGATTGACAAGTTCAGCATCTTAGCCACTGAGCCACTTATTCTCTGCCATGGGCCTGTTTGGGGAATAGTCTCACTAAAATACTAAAATATTGTGAAGTTTTCAGCCAGATAAGACAGTCTTTAGTCTTTAGCCCCTTATTATAAACTCTACTGTATGTTAATTGTGAAATCACTCCACAGGAAGTTTTGAACTGTAAATTATTTGTAAGTCTGGTTGTGTTTTATTGCCCCATCCCAACAATCAAATCACTTCTTCCTACATCCCACTGAATGAAGAAGGCATTTGCTTTTCCTGAATATTACCTTGCTTACCAGGAAAAATATTTTTGCCTAAGTAACAGGTTTTCCATGTTTCTATCAAATTCACTTACTTTGTTCTCTGCAGCAATAAAGCAGAAGATTCTAGGAAACACTTTGATTTCTTACAGGGACAAATTATTTTGATTTTGTATAACCAAAATTACAACTACCACAAAATCCCGAAATGGATCTGTTCAGACTTTCAAATAAGAGACTTCAACACAATGCAAGTCAGGAAAGTAAAATGAAATAAAAAGACATTACAAATGTTGTTTACAACATTCTGTCATAACAGTCCCTATCCCAGATAGATAGAAAGGATGTTTCTCAAATTAGGCAACCTTGTTTTGCTGGTGAAAAGTAAAGAGAACAAAATTATGTAATGAAAGATAATTGAGGAACAAAGTGTTCCAGCTTTTAACAGCATTTCTCAGCAAACTATGGTAAGAAAGAAAAGGATGAAATTTAAGCTAAGGTGGTTGTTAATATTTTTAGAGTATTTATAGCTTTTGTTGTGTTAAGCAAAATTTAGAATTATTCATAATTAGCAAAACCTTACTCAAATCAGTAAATTAGTAAATTACAGTAAGTTAGTTCCTATGTTAAGAAAGGTCTGTTCTACATCTCATCAACTCTGGAATAAACTGTAACTTGAAACTACAATTACATCTATATTATAAACCTGCGTAGAGTATGAAGAGGGCATGATAGTTCAGGGGTTAAAGATGATGAGCTTGTCAGCTGGAAAGTGGACAGCATGGATTTGAGGTCCGAGTGCCGCACAATAGGGTGAGCTCCTGTCATTTCCCCCAGCTCCTGTCCACCTAGCAGTTTGAAAGTATGCAAATGCAAGTAGATAAATAGGTACCACTTCAATGGGAAGGTAAGTATTCTGTGCACCTCTGAGTATAGTCATCCTGGCCACATGACCACAGAAACATTTTCAGACAATTCTGGTTCCCTCAATTAAGAAAATCTTAGCACTGTGCTTAGAGTCAGACACAACTGGACAAGGGAAATGTCTATGGATATTCTCAATCTAAACGAAGAAGCTTCTTGGATGTGAAGCGAAACATCTTCAAAGAAAAACCAGACAGTTCAGTTGCCTCTTGAAAAAGCATGTTTGAACAAGGGAAACCTTTACCTTTATACAGTATGATGACCAAGATCCTTATGCTTTCATCATAGGAGTTGGCTACAGTTTATTATGACATGAGAACATCCTAAAATTTTCTGTCTAGCCTTTCTAACTAATCTTTTGTCAATATAGGATTTAAAAGAGATATTTGTTTATTTATAAATCAAATGAATGAAGCTATCCAATTTAGAATTGTAATTATTTATTAGTTTTACAGTTTAATAATGAGATAACTTTCCAGTAAACAAAATTGTCACCTGGTGTTTTCAGAAGTAAACAGAGAAAGTAAAGAAAACATTGCATAATATTTATTAAATATTTTATTCATTAAAATGTTTTATCAATGCCAAGTTTATATTATATTTGTAAATAGCTTTTAGACTTTTTGGCTATAAATACAATTGATGGAAGAAAACATTTATGTACCATTGATGCCTATCTGAGAATTGCGACTATTCTTTCTGCATTGCCGTACAAAATAATATGTAGAAGAGAAGCAAAATGAAGAATACAATATCACGTATGAAAATTGGGTTTATGAAAGATGCTGTTACTGTGATCATGTCATCTTGAATGGTGTGTGACAGTTTCTCAGCCATTCTTGCAATCATTTTCTCCCTTTTTCACCCCGTAGCAGCTACTTACTTTGGGGTAAGTTAGGTGGGAAAAGGGAAGAAAAAAAAGGAGGAAGGAAGGGAGAGATGGAGAAAAATGAAGGACAGGAGGGAAGGAAGGAACAGGGAGGAATTAACTATTCTTCCTGGCCTCTGCTGCCTACTTCCCATCTCCACAACTCATGTCCTCCACACTTTCCCCAAGTCAAAGGACATTTATTATGCATTCTCATGCACTTTCCTGAAATGTGGAGGGAGAAAGGGAGAAAGAAGATAAGGTCAGAATGAAGGGGAGGAAGAGAGGGGGGGAAGAGCAGAGGAAAGGAGGAATGAAAGGAAGGGAGGAGGGAATGAGGAAGGAACAGGGAAAAAGGAAGGAATGAAGGAAGCAAGGGAGAAAGGGAGAAAGGGAGAGAGAAAGAAAGATTTCTGATGCTCCGAGCCAGCTTCTTAAGGAAATATCTCTGAAACAATGACTCAGTAAAGCTTGGACTGTCTAGCATCAATTATAGATTTAAATGTAAATACAATTTCCAAGATTAAGAAGTAGTGACTATGGTTTATAAGCTGCAAATTGTTATATTGTATGGTTAGTAGACTTAGACACAATGGACAGGGGAAGTAGTGGGTTCCGGATCCTGTCGCAACTGGTATGCTGTGATGGAGCTGGGCATTCTTAGCGGACACACATGCTAAGCATGCATGCACACTCTACCACCCAGCGACACTCAGATGTTTGGCAGAAGTTGCACAGGCGTCGCACGCTATGCGCATGTGCACAATTAGCCCATTTCCCTAAAAAAATGGTAAGGAACACGGGTGGGTTGATGGGCCTAACAGCTCACCATTCCGGTATGGTAGCTGCTGCTCCCAGATACCACCAGTATGCCTATACTTTCACAAGTAGGGATGGGATTCTACTGGTTTGGACCAGTTCAGATGAACTGGTAGCTCTGATGATAAGATGGGCCCGCCCGTGCTATTTTCCTACCTTTATCTTCTCAACTGATTCGTGCGGCAGAGCAGATTGCCACGCGAACCAGCTGTGTTACTCCTCTGAAGAAATCCGAAAGTGAAGTTTCCTCAAAATTGTGCACACGTGCACAGCATGCAAACCGCATGATCACTGAACCGGTTGTTAAATTGAAATGATCCCACCACTGTTCACAAGGTAATGAATAGAAAATGGCCACTTAATCTATCTAGAATGGGATTTTTGTTTTAGATTTCCTATGTTAGGTAACCCAATCCAGGTCAATACATATAATTAAAATGTTAATATCAGAAGAACTAACAGAAATAGATTGAAAATCAGAGAGGAAGACTAAAAATGTAGTTAGAGAAAAAAAAAACAAAATGAGGGAACAGACATCAGCCCACATAATGGACAGCAAATGTACGAAGAGCAAAGAACAGTGGAAAATGAGATTTACTGTACATACTTTTATTACATCTAAAACAATGAAGATCTGATACTTTAAGATCAATTGTCCTTCATTCAAGGCAGAAAGTCACTTGTAACTGTTTTAAGTTGTGAATCAATACTTTACATAGACTGCACTGTGGAGAGAGCTCATTGAAATGTATTTCTCTGCTTTATCAGGTCACTGAAAATTCATTCTCAGCATCCGAAGAGTTAAGCTGCAGAGATGGTACAATGGGGATTGATGACAAAGTTTAGCAATCTTGAGCAAGTTATATCACAGGTTTATTCAACTGGGGGCAGTAAACATAGAATGCTACAAATTCATGCTATTCTCCAGGGGAGTGGAAACAACAGTTTCTCCAAGGCATATTTATCTTATGTAATAGCAAGCTATGTTCCATTTGTAGACCTTATTCAAAGTGCTTAGAGATACCGCATATAAGCTGTATTTATCAGCATGTTATTTCATTTGTTATCCTTTCCTCCATCTCATTTCATTTATTTCACCTGTTTTTGTTCATTTCCACTTGAAGCATAAATATCTAGTTTAAGTAAGTAAAGACTTAAAAAAATTGAGACCATAGCTTCTGTTTTTCTTAATTGTAAGTACATATTTTTGAATTTTTCTCATACATTCTGTATTCATTTCATTTACACACAAGAGTCATATGTGTATGTATGCTTGGAGTGGACTTAAATAAGACTAGAGTTCATGAAGTTCTAAATTAAGTTCTGTTGATTATATGGGAATATTTTGTAATTGGATTTGTGAATGTTAGCAGCAATGTGTGAAAAATTGGCATTGTATAGAAGGCTTAGGAAATCTATAGAACGTGGGAGCAATTCTAGGCAAAGTATGAAATGTCTGTATTATTTTAATGTGCTATATACCTGTGTTGCTGAACCTTTTCGGCACCAAGTGCCAAAACGAGAGAGTGCATGTCTGGGGGAGCATTGGCAACCGGAAGAGCAGTTCCTCGGCACACATGTGCACACTAGGAAGCTGAGCTTCTGGTTTCCTGTGTGCCCATGCGTGCATGTCACCTGGTCTTTTGTTGCTCCTACATGCACGAAGACCAGCTGTCTGGCATGCATGTGTGCACCGGAACCCGGAAGAGCAATGGGCGATGGCTGGCATATCCAGAGAGATGGCTTTGTGTGCCACTTCCAGCACCCGTGCCATGGATTCACCATCACAGCTATATACTTTCCCTAGGCATTGTATATAATACCTAGGCATTATGCAGAATAACAAGAACTGTTTAGGCAAAGTATGAAAGTATGAAAAGAGAGTCATGAAAAGGGCTATGGTTACCTAACCCTAACCCTAACCCTAATCCTTTATTGAAAAAAAAACTTTTGAAAATGAAATAAGAAATGCAAAATAAAGTATAGGACTTTGTTATTTAAAAAAAAGAGAGAGAAAAAGACCAGTATTGACTTACTTGTTGCAACTGGAATAGCAAGAATGGCATTTTATATTTTGCTGGATTACCTAGAATACCTAGGAAATGCATGTAACATTAAGTGTTTTATATTTTGACAGCCCATTTTTAGCATTCTATAGATTTCTGGGCATTCTATAAAATGCCTAAATACACACATGGATGGTACAACTTACACAGTAATTTTAGTAATATTGTTCAATGAGCCATAGAAACCTGATTCATATATCAGCTAATCCTGAATTCAATCCAATCAACAAAAAACATTGTATATTTAGCATAATACTGCCAACATGTTAATACTGTTTCATTTTTTTAATTCTCTGGTTTTTACATTATGTTCTTTTTTTCTGTACTTTTTAGTTATACTTCTTTCTATAAAATTCCTGTTGAATTGGGCACTCAATAACAATTTGTAGTAATCCCTATATTCACAACTGAAGATAGTAGGAAATCTTCATCCCACATATCAGATGCACTGGAATCTGTTTCATGTTTCGTTCCTAAACAGTTTATGATAATTACAGCCCACATTTAAGATCACTTGAATCAACAAGCTGGTGCAAAGAAAACAAAAGCTTCTGTAGGGTTTTTTTTCTACATGAAATACAAGGATCCTAGCTCTGGATAACCATTCTAATCCAAAAGAATGACTAACCATGAATCCATCACAGACTGAGAACATTTGCACTTGGACTCATGAGGGAAGCAGAAGAATGACAGTAGAACAGACATGTTTTCTTAAGTGTTTGAAAGAACACACGTTCCAATGTCCTTGACAACTCCAGATTTATTTATATTAATAACAAAAGTCTGCCAAATGAAATGGCAGGTTTGAATTGTGGGATTCTTCCAGCTTTACCATATATGAACGTGGAGGTTATTTTACTCAAAGCATTGTGTGCACAATTTATTTATTTATGTATTAATTTATTTATCCTCCTTTTTTCTATCTATTGTAACATACACTCTCCCTTTCAAGCTGCAAAGGTGTAGTTTTGATGGATTTATACAAGGAATTAGTAATGGGATTAAAGCAATGTTTGCCACAGTAGCAGTGTCTTCCACTAAGTATAGACTAAAAATAAAACAAGCAAGTAAAACATTAATCTATCCACATGACTCTTTGCCTGAATTCACACAGTAAGCCAGGCTAAAAATGTTATTGGCTAATATCCAATATATGATGTGAACACAGTCATAGGGATATCCTGTTTAAATTGAAATTGTAAATTTATGAACGGCTAGCCCAAAATCTTTTCTGAAACCTGATAGTCTAACATGCAATACAAAACTATGTATTTCAGATTGTGTATCCAGTTTGTGATAAATATAGCAAAATTGCAGTTGTTTCTCACTCTAATTGGAAATAAAAAGGCATAATTTAGTCAAATATAGCTGAGGAGTAGATGCCACTATTTTTTATTCCTCTTACACCCAATTAATTTTGGGCAGGATTTATATACTGTACCTTCAACTAGATCTTTAGGCATCTTTATTCATAATGTTGTTTCCCAGATTTTAAAAAGGTCTGTTCTTGAATAAACATATACAAAATGAAAGCCTGTTTTGATCAGGTTCCAATTAAGAGTTTGGAAGTAGAGCCAATATATTTTCTATTTCATTAGATGGCTTCTCTTATCCTGTGTTTCGTATCTAGATTTAGGGAAATAATAATCCTCCACTTGGTTCTCTTGAGGGGAAAATTTTCAAATGGATCCCAAATAGATATTTTTATTGTTGTAGCAGTTTCCCATGCAGAATGGCCAATAATATGTCAACAACTCACATCTGGCTTGAGTTTAGCTCATGGGAAGTGACTTAATAAATGGAAAAAAATAACTCTACTACTGAAGCCTGGATCATCAAAGTTAGTACCTCTTTGAAAGCTTATAGTTCATTTCTTATAATGTCAAAATAGGAATGGAATGGAAAAGAAAGACATCGTGAAATAGTAAAAATGAAAGATCACTGTGAATACATGAGACAATGTGATTCCTCCATACTATCTTGCGCTACTAACAACTAGTTCTAGAGATGGACTATGGTGCCTAATGTTTCTTCATTAGTTATGGTGTAGCTTCTAGTCTCACAGTACCTGGACACCACAAAATAGTTGGAGAGAACTCTCAACTGCCACAACTCATATTTAGACCTTCTCTCTCAATGTTCAGATCTACATATTAGAGAAGGAAATTAATTCAGATTGCATCATCTGATTAGATCTTTGATTTAGTTTTGACAATTTTAGAATGAATATAAACTATCAGAGAGATCAAGTAGTTGAATCTTTTCAAATTACAATCACAATTGTTCCTGATATTTATTTTATTTTATAATATTTTGGATCCATTTCAAATATCTTGGAACCAAAGGTGTTATACATATCCCTTCTTTCTCCTGCTTTCCCCCCATAAGAACAACCTCGTGAAGTAAGTTGGCAGAGAGAAAATGACTCTTGTTCAGTTACTCAGGGAGCTTCTAATAACTGAGGATGGACTAAGACCTGGGTTTTCCTAATGCTCTTCTAGCACCCAAATCAATATACCACAGTGCATTCTTCCAAGGCAATTCCCAACATTTCAGAAATGTGTTCTGATTAGAGCTGCAGAATAACTGCAGAATTGCAGTAGAGTTGAAGCATTTTGACAAGCATTTTGAGTCATTCTTTAGATATTTGGAGTGTTTATAAAAAGAAACTTTGGGGAAATGTTAAATCATACAGTGAATGGAATGCTTTTAAAAGTCCATTATGATCAAATGAGAGTTGGTGGAAAAAGCTAATTGATAGGATGCTCAGACCCCTTGTTGGCTTCAGGGAGGAGGAAAATGACATTTATGATACAATATTGAAGTCACTTCAATGTCAAGAGAGAAATAAAGTGGATGCAAAGTGTGAAGGAGAATATTTTGACCGTTCAGCTATGTAATCAAGAGACCCACTGCAGAGCCAATGGAGTATTTTTTTTTAAAAAAAGAAAACATACAAGATGATTGTTTTGATGAGCAAGATGAATTTCAGAAATAAAACAGTTCTGGGGGAGAAAAATTAATCCCTCAGCCACACATGCTTAAGAGCTGACATTGTTATTCCTAATGGACACATAAGAGTAAGCAACCTAATAACCATGGAGACTAATGTGCTGGAAAACTATTAATAAAGAAAGAAAGATATTATGACATTTTAAAGGTTAATGCATTTACTCTTGCATAACCTGCCACGGATCACCATATATTTCATCGGATGCCTCAGAAGTATACCATGCTTATGCAATGATAAATATGTTCATTTTAAAATACGATAAGACTACTTCATTTTCTGATGGAGACTAATGGAGTTAAAAGAGAGGGAAATGGTGACAAGGTGCTGTTTATTGTAGCATGAAGCATTGTGGACCTTCTTTCTCCAAGTTTCTGCCTTCTTACACTTTTGGACTGGATGCAATTTTAATTGATATCAGGCCAGGCTGATAGGGTCTAACACGAATTGGAAGCAAGCCAGATCTGAAAAGCTTCTTTTATAGTCTTTCCTGGTCTATCTATTTTTTCACATGAAATCAACTTTATCTCACATTCCTCATATTGGTTTCCTACCCCATATGAACACCATGTGAGGTAAAGTATCTGAGTTGGAGAACCTTCTGTGAAAAAGAATCTTCCCCAAAAGAGGGTCAAAGCAGAGGTGGGTTCTCCCGGTTCAACCTGGATTGGGTGAACTAGTAATGGTGGTGGTGGGAGGTTCTGCCCACTCACTCTGACACTTCTGCGCATGTGCAGAAGCGTGGCGTGCACAAGCAAACCAGTAGTAAAAAAAATGGAAACCTACCACTGGTCCAAAGCTCCTTCACTCTTCACTTTTTAGCAGCTTCTGAAAGGAGCCTGGAACTTTGGAATAGCTAGAAATGAAACAGTGTGAATAATAAAAATAAAAAGGAACAACAAACACTTACGATCCAAGTGCTTCCATGAAAACAAATGTTTTTCTGATGTTGGCAGTCGGTTTCTTCCAGGAAGTGCCATCATCCTCTTGTTTGCAACCCATCTTCTCCAGAGTTAAAGCTGAAATTTCTGAAATGATATAATAATGGTTGAAGAACCATTATTCTAAATAGTTATTAATGACAATACATTAGTAAATTCTCACATTTTTCTGTGTCAGATTTCTGGCATCTTTAGCAGATGCCAGAAGACTGAACAACCTGCAGTCCAGCAGAAAAGAATCTGCCTAAAATATTAGAATGTGCAGAAATGAATAGATTATCACTTGCACTTAAAGAGAAAGAACAAATGGGTTATTATGCAATATGTGAAACTTTTTATCGATGGTTAGAGGATAAATATAAAAATTAGATACAAAAGTAGATGAGTAAAATATAGAAAATAGTAGGGTTAATAATAGGGTTAATAGAGTTAAGTAAACTAAGAACAGGATGTAAAGTATCAGCTATTTAATGTATTGGTATTAAGCTAAGAATAAATTAAATAATGAATATGATTGTAAATTTTAACTGTTATTGCACAAACATTTGTACTCAGATGACACACTGTTTAATGGAAAATGGATTATTTGTACTAAAATAAAATTGAAAAAATTTAAAAAAGAAAATAATCTGCATATGTAATTGTTTACAATGGTAAACAATCCCCGATAATTTACCATTGGTTACCTTTTATTTTCTACAATTTGATTTTCTAATTACTTTCCATGCTCTGGAATTCTTCTGTAAACTACAAACCTGAGTAGAGATAAAACAATGCTGATGCTGTCATCATCTATCCTATTTTTCTTCGAGAGCCTGAACTACTCTCTTATGTTAATGGGCAGCATTTCCTAACACTTGTAAGCCCCAGCTGTAAGCCCCAGGAGGGTTTTCAGCACCATGAAGCTTTAAATTGTCAAAAGACTTGTCATTTGAGCTTCTAACTTTTACTGAGGGTCAGAAATGTTCCTCTGAGTATTCTGTATATGTCAGCCACTGTTTCGCTTCTTGCTTTCAGCTGCCATGGAAACGGGGAGGGGGGCATGGTATTTGGGGTGGGAATAATTGATACAGGAGTGATAGTTAAAACGAGAGTTTTGTTCTCACCATCTTCTGTGCATGCTGATGGCCGATGTTTGGAGTTGGTCAAGGCCAACCATCCTGCATATCAACCTGATGATGCTTCTTGGAGATGCACCCACATGACACCTAAGGGATTTGCAGATTGGGCAATAGGATGGGGCTTGTTGGGGGAGGGGGTTAGGCAAATGTTTGATATGTATGATTTTGCACGTTTCTGCCTCAGACCTTGCTTTACTTCGCTGCTATCTTTTCATAACCAGTAAAAGTATTATTAATTCTACAAATGGAGTTAAGTGGTTTCTTTCTTGGTTGCTGAAGGAGGCGTGCTTGACAGTATTTGGAATATGAAAATTTAGATCTGGTGATTCAGAGGCATTAGAAAATACAATGTTGATCTGAAAATTTCAAAGTAGGATTATTTTAGGGTGATGATAAAATAATTGCTGCTATTATTCTAGATGGCTGGTTCTTGTTATTCATTGTGACAAAGCGTAAAATACATTAGACTAATGTACTTAGCACCAGCATTAATGTACATAGTAAAGCTAGTTTGGAAATCACATAGAAAATCTAAATTCCATTCCTTTTAATTGCAATAAAATGTGCCATAATAATTAGGCTGCTATTTTTATTAGGATCGACCCAAATTTTATGCCAAATGTAAAACTCAGGGATATTAGATGCTAACACACTCATTAGGTAATAATGATTGTAGTTTATAGTTGTTTCTAAAGATTGTGTAATCTTATTGCTCATCAAAGTTAATAGACTACCGTTAGAATTCAGAGCTAACACATACGGAAACAGATTATATAATTGCAAATTGAATAGAATGTTTAGACCAGATTCATTGTGAAAAAAGAGTGAGCAAAGTCAGATAATAACAACACAGAATAAACCTTCCTTCAAACAGTAATTAAATTAAAGCATTTTACATATACACACTCAAATAGGAGGCTTAGGGGAAAACTACATGATAATTAAAACATATTTTGTTCTACCTATTTCTTTTCTTTTCCTGGGTGTAATGCATGATGGTGATAGGAGAGAAGGGGAGTAAAGCTCTTATTTCAATCATGACTATTGATATGAGAAGAAAGGTTGATTTTTTTTCTCCAAAGTATCATTGTTTATAAGAAATATAAATATACATCTGCATGTATCTTTTTTCTAAACAAAAATCCTAAGTAGGTAAGATGGTGGAATAGCTTTTTGTTCTTTTGTATATGGCACTTCCAGTCCAGAATAAGTCAGCATCTATTTTCACTAGAGCAAATAGAAAATGCAGATAAAGGTACACAGATTCTGATTTTTATAGCCGGTTAACTGATCAGAGTATAAATCCTAATGCTGGAGTAATCTGAAAGAAATATAAACCCAAGTGTTACTTTGATACAAATTGAATGGTAGCATCCATAGCATTAAACATTTGTCTTTTAAGGAGTGCTTGCAAGAATTGGATAATCTGGAATTTTCAATGCTTAGGTTTGGATCTTACTATGCATCACAAAAGGCAATGAAACATTAAGAATTTTGATTGATAAAAGTGTTAGTTTCTTTTATCCAGGTTCTTTTTAAAATGGTTGCTGTTTAAGGATGGAGACTGAATCTCATAGGTTGTTGCCAGGTACTTGTTTTTGAATCATACTTTTAATATAAAACTAGTTGTGGCTTCATTAAATATCAGTAGAATAGTATTTAAATGTGAACAGTCAAAGGTGAAACTGCTTGATGCATCCTTTGACAGGAAAAGTCCAAAGAAGCTGCTGGCACCACCCAGCAGGCAAAATTTATGCTGCTTCACTGATCAGCAGACTGGCAGGTAAGTTGTGAGGATCAGCGCCTGATTTTCTGCATTTATTGAGAGCTTACTTCCAAACTGTAAATCATAAGATTGCAATGTTAAGAACCTTCAAGAAATTGACACACCATCTATACAAGGAAAGGCTACACAATGCTGTACTGTTTGTGTATGCTTGGAGACTGGCATTTTGTGGTACTCAGTATTAAATAAATCAATGAATAGAGTAGCAGAAATATGGATAGGCAGGAACAAGGCTGCACTCTACCCCTTGCCTTATTAGCAAAGTATAAATGTGTTGAGGAAGTTTACAAAGCTGCTCTGCCTTGATCTGAGAATTAAATAGAAATTAAATGAAAACAACAGATGCTGCATGTTCTCCAGCCTAGGCATATCAAGATGTTGACTAATTTTAATCCTTTTCTTCTGCAAAACAGTCCAGAGAAATATTCTATTGTCCCACCACCATTAGCTATAGATCTTCCAGGGAGCTCTTACTTCCAGGCTGAATTCAGATTTTCTCAGTAACTCCATTTATCACCATGGCTACATTTGGCTTATACAGGTAGAAGCCCTTTATAGGACAAAATGTAAACATACGCATCAGGAGGGTTTTTTCCCCCCAACTATATTTAACAATAATTTCTGCAATTAAAGAGAGTTCTGAAAGCACTTCTAAATGGAAACTCTGGAAGTACCCTGTTGTGAACAAACACACAATTGGAAGATGGAGATGGGTGCAAACTTCAACATTGCTCAAAGGCTGAAACACCATCACTCTTCCTAACCTCCTCCTTTTTCTGGAATAGCAAAAGTGTTTTTACACATGACTGCATTTGCCATTGGCCAAATAGATTCTTTTGTTAAAAAGAGGAACATTTTGAACAGAGAGAATCACTACTGCACAGGAAAATAAAAGAGGAAGAAAAAATATGTTTTTGTGGCAAACTTTCATTTCCCACTGAAATAGTATTTGCCACCTATAATGACCAGGGTTATACAATTTTCGAGTGCCCCAGAATCAGACATCAAAGATTAATTCAAGCATGGTCAAAGAAAAATGGACTCAGCTGCTAAAGAATGACATTTTCAGTCTTTTAAACCCTTTAAAAGCTAATATGTTTGAAACTGTGCTTGATCTCTAGTTAACGATTAGATTCCAAATCTTGATATGAATTGCCTTTTTTATATATTTTATATATTTCTTTCGATAGACAAATTTAGCAGAGCTTAAGAATGTAAAAAAGGAAGTAGTTTATTGACAATATTTGAAAAATTGTTTATAGAGATTCTCAGTCATCCACGTCCTGGTTGTCGCAAAGGTGCTTTTCAGGAGGCAACTGGACTTTCTTGTTTTTCTTTGAAGACATTTTGCTTCTCATCCAAGAAGCTTTTTCAGGTCTGACTGGATGGTGGGAAATGGAAGAGCTGAAGAAGCTTCTTGGATGAGAAGTAAAACATATTCAAAAGAAAAAAACAAGAAAGTCCAGATGTCTTCTGATAGACCATGGTTTGGCACAACCATGACCTGGATGACTGAGAATCTCCAAAGACGTTTAGCTATGTACTTTGGGATTAACACACTTTGAATGGTGTGGGAGTATGAATGGATTTCCAGAAAAATTGCAGATTACAGGAACCATTTGCACTTCATCTCAAATGGTTGAGATGCAGACAACACAGAATCATCCCCAACAGCCTGCACTTGTCTTCCACAGTGAAGTAACACAGGGCAGAAAACACCCTGCAACCAAGAAAGCTCCACATCCATTCACACTGCTCAGGTGACCCTGATGACACAAATAAATCTCCAAGAATGCAAATGACCAGCTGTCTGCAAAGAATAGAAATCCTTCCATTCCCCTCCATCCAGTCAGAGCTGAAAAAGCTTCTTGGATGAGAACCATCGTCAAAGAAAAAAAAGCAAGAAGGTCCATTTGCCTCCTGAAAAAGCACCTTTGGGACCACCAAGTTTGTTTTATTTGTTTGTTTTCCTAGCAGAGGAGCCTTCTGCAACCTGGTCTCCTGTAGTTGGACTGTAATTACTATCATTCCTAATAAGCATGGGCTATAACCTGGAAAAGGTAACTATAACATAAGTTTAATTAGCAGATTGAAGAAACCTGTATAGGAGTATAATAATACTCTCATAATTCACTGTGACTCAACTTTTGGAGGCTAGGAAAACATTTGGAATTCTGGAA